TATGTGTGTGTGTGTGTGTGTGTGTGCAACTATGATTTTTTTAAAGAAAGGACAAAGCTACTCCCCTCCCCCATCTATAATGGTTCCTACACCCATTTATCCAATGAGATGAAATGAGCAGTAGATTGAAGTGAAAGCAGAAAAATAATAGAAAAAGATGGGAGTACATGGGGCAGTAAGGAATGCCTTAAGGATGGCTTTCATAGCTTTTAAGATTGAAAAAAGTCTGCCACTCTATTAAAATGTATGTGATTGCATGGCCTTAGACCTAGGAAACAGAACATATTTTGATGAGTCAGCACAGGAAATGTGATTTTATAATGTTTAAATAACTACATAAATAGTAAATAAATATAGTAAATGCTCACAGCTATCGATTCATAAAGCTCACAGCACTGTTGGACAAATTGTGCATTCTGTACTAATAGAAAACAGCCAGTGATTCCTTGTGAGTATCATAAATCAATAGTCTAGTGTTGGGTGCACAGAACAGGGGATAGCATTTTTTTAAGGACACAGCAAAGGCTGATTATTAAGGAAAATGTGCGGTTATGTGGAAATTATTATTCTTATTACCAAAGACAGGTCGACTGGTTCTCCGTCCTTCATCCAATCCACACGGAGCAGCGGGGGCTGAGCTACCATTGGGCAGGAAACCACACCATCCATACCTGTGGGGAGGTATGTTTCCTGGGGCATTTTTAGTGCCTGGGCTGGGTCTGAGAACAGTTATATAGATAAAGCATTATTTATTTTTGTAATAGTTAAGCATTCAAATACTTTACTGTGTCAACACTGAGGAAAACTGCACATACCACTGCAGAGGAACTGTGCCATGATCCATAACTTATTTTGAAAAACAATTGTTTTGTTGTATTGCATTTTCTGCAAGTCTGTGTATTCAGTATAAGAAGTTTGCAGTTGACTGAGTGCCTGACAGAATAATATATTTCACAGGCAAGAGCAAAATGTTAATAGGGAACTGTTTACAAAACCTTAAAGAAGCCTCTCCAATAAAAAAAATACAATAAGCGGAAAAAACAAGACAAAAATTGGGGTTTCAAGGGAATGTATGGTCTAGTTTTCTACATCAGTTCTAGGAACTGTGCATTTTTTCATTACAGTTTATTTCAGAACTAATTCTACTGCTGACAGCAGTGCAATAAAACACCATATTTAATGTCTCTGAAATCTTATTTTCATCTTTTTGATTTAATTTATATAGATTTCCTTAATAAACACTAGTTATCAGTCTCATCCAGGAACTTTGTAATTTCCATTGTACCTCTGCTGAAAGAAGGTACGGATATCCTTTGCCGCTTGGCATTAAAGTTATCAGTTACTTTCACTTTCCTACTGTCTTTTATATATTTTTTCTGAGATCACTGTTTCAATATATAAAATATGACTGGGGCTTTCTTAGTGGTAATTAAACTAATCAGGACATGTTTTTTTATGACTTAGTGCTTAAAATGAAGCTTAAAATATTGTTTGTGACTGTCCATCACAGTGTTTGTCTACCTTACGATGCTACAATGTTTCTAAAGTGAAGACTGCTACTCCATATCTTGCCCCTGGGCAAGTAAAACCTAATTTCGATACATATTTGTATTTTAAAGACTATCAAAGATACTAGATAAAAATAGAAATATCTTTTCAAAAATACATATATCATCTCCACTCCAGAAATATAACAGAAGTATACACACTGTAAAACCTCTATATGTACATGTACCCATCATTCAATAAGGAGACCACCCTTTCAATATATAAACAATATAAAATATATGACACGGCTGGTTTCTTAGAATCCACTTTCTTTTTTGCCTCTAAAGAAAAAAGAATAATCTAGACATTTTCAAGGCATAGGGGAGCTTGGTTCTTGCCTTAATGGACTTAGATGAAAAGGAGGATTGTGCAAAGGCTGAGTTTCTTTACTCTATATTCACACAGCACAGTTGATCCTAAAGCTTTGGTTATCTGTGCTGAGGAAAGTTGTTCAGAAGTTATCAGTGCTGAAAATGCAGCATAGTGAACTAAAACAAGATGAACAAGTCAAAGTTTATTTGTACTGTGATGCAAATGGACTCTGGTTCTTTCTGGATGACCAAGCTACTCAATGCCTGACTTACATACAGGTGTGTCAGCTTCCCCTACTATGTGTGTTAGCCTCCTGCCATCTGTGATGCCAACACTTGATGGATTTCTGTCAGCACCATCCACTGAAACACTATCTAATGTGTCATGCTCACACCCCATAGAAGTACATCTTTGATAATATTTTTTGCATCTTTGTGTGTTTTAATGGTTTGAGGGTTACTGGGAATGACCTGATTATTCTAGGTGACCAAGGTTTTAAAATCCAGAAATGTTACATAGGCAGTCCATGTGGACTCTTACCTTGCTATTGAAGTTGTTTCTAAAATTAATCAATGCCAGATTTCACAAGTTTTCATGCAATTTAGGCCCTCAAACAGGCAATTATTTTGTCGAAATAATATTAAACTGAGCAGATACAATGGGGCCTTTACACTGTGAGTGCTCAGGCCTTAATGACAATAATATTCATAATAATAGAGACAATAATGAAAAGAAATGAAATTTGAAGGAAATTACAAATAGTCTTTTAAGGACTCATAGTGGCTCTGTGATTGGATGAAAACTGGACAACTTTTATGCTGGACTGCAGAGGTTACTAAGCAAACATTGAAGCACTTTCTCTCACAGACTGATTCAGCTCCCCTGCCACAAGGACAGACACGGAAAATTGTTTCATACTTGATACAATATCTCTATAATGCAACACATCTGTCTAGCAGACAGTCGTCTGTACCCTGATGTTTAACAGTTAATTTCAGCTTAGTTAAAACAGACACTTGTGAGCCAATTAATGCTTTACTATTAATTGCTTTACCATTTTTGTAGCCATTTGAAATGTTGTTTCTGCTGGAGTTACTGAAATATTTTACTTGCTATATAGTACATTAATTAGTGTATGTTTAACTTATTTAAGATGTTGTGTGTTGTAGCTAAAAAGAATTGACCAATCTGGGATAAATGAAGTACACAGTAAATATTTCTTCTTATGACATCTTATTATATATTAGCCACAGACCACACACAAACGTACGCATCACTGTGAGGATGGCAGAGGCAGTTGGCGGCATGAGCAGGCCATTGGTTGGCACACAGGTGTAGTTGCCAGAGTCCTCTGGGATCAGCCTGGAGATAAGTAGAGTCCCATCTACCATGATCTTCACTCGTGACTTTAGAGACCTTGAGAAAAACATCAGTATGAGAGCAAACCAGCTACTTTAGAATAAGAGGGAAATATTTTCTAGCACATTTTCAGAACATCAAAAGTGTAGGAGGGTTTTTTTTTGTTATTATTAATATTGTTATTCACTGTTCTGTGCAGATGGAGGTTAAGGACATTTCATTTTATTTCAGTTAGAGTGAGAGGCAGTGTGCCCACTCATGTTATACATCCTTATATTTAAAGAGAAAGAAAAAAAAGACAAACAAACAAATCCATCTAACAGGCTTGTGACTTTGGTGTTATGTTTAAGGGACCACCTTCAGCCACATTCACATTCACGTACTATAAGAAACTTGGATATTTCTTAGCACTACTGTTTTCCTCTTGCATTGAAGAAAAATAGCCAGTGCCACTGAATATTTTAGTTGTTTCAGTTTCATGTTAACAGAGAATCAATTGAAAAATGTGATATGGGTCACTGTCAGTGACCGCAAAGATTTATCGCCAATGCTGAAGGCCTACAGAGCTTTTCAAGCTCTTTTAACTCAATTATGAGGCTTTACGGCGCATTTACTGTATCAGTCAGTTGCAGCGGGGGCCAGCTTCTTTAGCAAACAAATCTCTATCAAACCCTCGGTATGTTACCTGCCTCAGGAACAAACGGCAGACACACAGAGGACAACCTGCAGAATAAAACTGGAGATGGTAAGAAGTTGTTTTTTACCATCTTACAGGACAAAATAAAACAAGAGGTCAAAGGTTTATTGGACGTACTTTTCTTTATCGTCAATTTTATTCAGCAGCACTAGTGTCAAAACTAAAATATGCCATCAACTATGGAATGAATTGCTATGGAAAATAGACATATAGAGAATGTAGCCACATATTTACATTTCCTTATATTCGTTTTTTCCCAGGTTAAAAGTGTCAGCTTTAGTTTATCCAGTACATTATAATTAAATACCTGTAATCACCTAATAAAATTACCATTTGCTTCAGCTCTACTTTTTTTAAGCAGTAATTAGCAACTAATTGCAAGCTAACATGCTGAACTAATAAGGCAAGGATAATACCTGCAACAGCATGTTGGCATTATTGGTGTAGACAGAAAGCCATGCATGTGTTAGGGTATAGCACAAAAGTGCTACTGTGCCCAAGGCTTCAGCACTAAACTACCTTCTCACTTTTTTGTATCATATTTCGCTAGCATGGGTATAATTTTTCAGGGAGTTACTGTGGTAACTCCCCTTGTGGTAAAAATAAATAAATAAATCAATAAAGTGGAAAAAACAAAAAAACAAAAAGGTTTTCCTAAGGTGATTTACTTATGAAAAATGATAGATGTGCAGGGCTCATTCAAAAAAATAAATTATTTGCTTTTTGTTTGTTTGTTTTTTCATACATGGAATAATTAGCATTTTTAATTAGCAGTTTCTATTCTAATAACTCAACAAACACATTTAATATCCACGTTACTCTTGCTCTCTTAAGCTAATACTGCCCTGTTTGGCATCAATAACTTGTAGGTATTTTTGCACAATTATCTACCAGGCTCTTGTAAAATTTTCTGCCACTGCCACATGTAGATTTCTGTCAACTGTATTATGATAGAGGGCTTTTTTCATGTACAGCCCATTTAAATCCTCCTACAATGTAAAACAAACATAGCCAGCTCTATTTGTGACATCATTTCTGCTGAACAGCAACAAGATGATAACGTAGCTTTTAACCTGACTAGGCCTTTCCATAACTCTTCATCACTTCTCTTGCAGCCATTCCTTGGCTGATTTGCTAATTTGATGGGAACCATTATACCATCAAAGGGTACCCTTCAGGTTCAGTTTTAAACTACTTACTTAATAAATTCATAATATCTTACACAGCAAAGATAATAACTGCTCATAACTGGGACTCAGAGACTCCCCAGTCCACAGCGACCCCAAATCATGACACTACACACAAATGTCCACATGTGACATGCTCATCACATCACATTTGTGATGGTCACAGCATTTGTGACTTGACAAATCGACATTTGAGTTACCAGTCTGGAACACAGCAACCCAAAAAGCCAGGCATAAGTGTCTTGGTTTTGGCCTAATGTTACTTTTAGGCAGCCAAGTCTTTTCCTTGCACATCTCATCTGCAGGTCAGCACATGTACTTTGAGACGAACAGTAGCAAGAGTTTCCTGTAGGTCCTGGAATAAAGTCCAGGGGGTTCTTGGAGACTTCTTTTTCCATCAAACACTTTACTCTTGGGCTAAATTTGCTGGGGCAGCCATTCTTGTACAAAATCTTTTTAAGTCCCTTGCCAGACTCATAGGCACCCAAAACTTTTTTTCTGATTCCCTTACAGAGTTCTTTAGATCTTGACATGAGAGGACACACTTCAATAGCAAAGAAAACACCAGACTCTTGATGTCATACTTTTTAAATAAGACAGGTTCCAGCTCTCACTTCTAAAGAGTGTCCAATCATTGGCACCCAATCTGGAACACCTGATCTGAAATTTATGGATCTGAAGGTGTTACAGCTGTACGACTTTACTTTACTTACTGTTTCCACATGAATGACTTTACTTTTTGTAATTAATGCTGTGAACATGAAATAATTAGCTTGAGAATAGTGTCTTTCTTAAAAGGTACAAAGGTCAAAATACATTGAAAATATGACAAATTCAAAGGTATGTGTTGATTTTTTTTTTTTTTGCCATGATTGCATCTTAAACCCAAACAACAGCATGAAATCTGAGTGTAAATGAAGAAATGAATATAGGAAATCTATTTTGGCACTGTCAAAGAGCACCTCACTATTTTTAACAAAGAAATGAAAAAAAAAGGCTTATTTCCCACCATTAGTCATAGATAATCAGAATAATCCTCATACGCTCTACTCAGCTGTTAACAGCAATATATATCAGGTCCAAAAAGCCTCTCTGAATCTCCCCCCCACCAATCGAAATCCGGTTGAGTATTAACCTGAGTATAATGAACAGTAATACCTGTTTTAGAGAAATGCTCAAGGGGAGAAGTAATGCAAATTAAGCCCCCAACCTGCTCAACTGACCCTATCCCAGCCACTGTTTTTTAAGAGACTGTTCAATTGTCTGGTGCATGATATGCTGGCAATCATGAGCCATTCCCTGCTCACTCCATCTTCTCTCTGGCACGAAACAGAGCTTTTATGAAACCTCTCATAGAGAAAAGCTCATTCGGCGCTTTACAGTTTTCAGGGCAATATCTTTTTTCTTCTTTTAAAGTGACACGACTGATGCTACTGCAACATCAGAATTTCTTCTCTTTTCTATTTTTATTTTATTTCTGTATTTTTCTTTGTGTTTGGAGACTACAACATAATGTTATCTTTTATTGTCCTTTACATAATTTGGGGGTAAAAAAAAATAAGTTAAAAACCATGAGATAAATGAAGTATTTTGGCCTATTTTTTTCTTATAACATTGTGGTGAAATTGCACATTTACAAACACACAAAATATATGCTGTCTCCAGTATTTACAAACTAATAACCTTCTGCATCTAACACCTGCCGAGATACATTTCTGATTCCACTGATTCATTATCTATCAGCTAACTTTTAACTTCATGCCTTTTGACCAGCTGATACTAGAAAGAGAATTGGAGACGGAACTGAGGACAGTGCAGTGCAATATGTTTTTTCCCTACTTTTAATCACTGTGCTCATTAATATTTAATGCCCAGTGCATATGAGGCATTAATTCATAAGAAAATAAACACTGATTTAGAAAACTTCAATGTGATACAATGTTGTTTTTCATATCAGCTAATGGGTGTTACCCTGTTGTCTACACCTGGACAAACATAGACAAGCCACACTAGTTAAGAAGAACTGCAGGTAAAATATGAAAACAGAGGCTCGTCTCTGACTTAAAATCCTTAGCACAAAATGTCAAGCCCAAAACAAGTAACCTCAGCGTGTGTTTCTTTTTTTCCTTATTTAAATTTCACATCTGAAGTAGCAAAAAAAATAAAAAATCCACCTTCTATCATCTCAGGAATATTTCTGGTGCACAGCTCACCCTCTCTCCTAGGCATATACCGAAGGAATAAAGCATTCTTTCATCACTAGCAGACTTGATTACTGCAAAGCGCTTTCAATTCTGGGCCAGCAAAGAATCCTTTTAGTTGTGAGTTCTTTAACGTGGCCCTTAGATCACCACTGGACTGTAAAAACAGTTTGTGCAGTCAATGTTACCTCAGAGTGAAAAGAAATCACTCAGTGCTCATTTTCGTTAATTCAGGTCTGTCTAGATGTTTCATTTGTATCTAGAAAACAACAAGTCAAGTCAGGTGCTTATATACTTATTCAACAGTATGTGGGGACGTTGTGATTGGTCCATGATGAATTCTGAAGCATGACAACAACTGCAAATGCATAGCCTGAAAGACTATCTCCAGCTAGAAAAGGTGCCCTGAAGTAACATATAAATAAAAGCAATTCATGGTGTTATTTTTAAAAGCATTTCTTATTTTTGGCACTAAAAAGCTTGAGCACAGTGATGTGCATATTCTGGCAGACAAACCACAGATCACCTTAGACACTCCCACGGGACACTAAATACTCAGTTTTTATGAATAACAAAAAAAAAAAAAAACATTGGGTGTATTTTTCCTTGGTGCTGTTGCAGTTTTATAACAATTTTACATTTGCCTGGTAAATTTGTTGCTATTTTAGTGCATGCAAACATTAGCTATTAAACTCAAAGAAACCATACTATGTATTGCATTTACCATGCATTATATGCAGCATCAATGAGGGTTTCATAATAAAGTGATCTTTGCATGAATGTATCCATGTTTCCAGATCAACAGAACGTATGGATCCACGTTTACCTGACATTTTTGAACTTGAGTGACAGGGGGTTTGAGTGCCTTATAAATAATTGAATGATAAAACATATAAAATTGATGACATCTTGCTCAAACTGCTGTAAATTTCATGAGCACATTTTGTGATCTCATGTATCCCTTTATTTAATGCAGAGTCTGAAGACTCGTCCTCATTCACCAAAATGTCAGTATATACCAACACGTACAAGATCTGCGCCTGTTTAATAAAGACACTCTGCAGACTGCATGTTAGTTATTGTCATGAAAGTATTCAATGAACTGCCACAAGTAGATGTCAAACATACTTTTAAGGAATGTTCTGGATTTGTTAAACCCACAGAATTGGGCTTTTGTGTGCTATAATGCCTATTACTAAGACATACTGTAGGAGGAGGTGAGGTTATGCTTCTGGTAAATTTTCAATACAGTCACTATAAAGTAAATCTCATCTCTTGTACAACCTGCCCAACATGTTGGGTTCTTTTTCCTTTTTAAAAAAAAATTTAAATTAAAGATTTAATGTGACAAATCTCAGTAACTGTCCGCTTTTTGTGATTTTCCTTTTTTTATGATGCAAAAGATAATGAAGGCAATCTTGAACAAAAAGCACAAAATTCGATTTACGTAACAACCACTAAGCTTTTCCAACATTCTCGGAAAAAAAAGAAAAGAAAAAAGGATAATGATCAAAATGGTAGTTCACTCACTCTATGTGATAGACATTTTCTCCACCTTTTTCCCACACGTATGTCATGTTGGGGGGATCTGCCACTGCCTGGCACTGGAGATGTGCATCTTGGGACATATTCAGAGAGGTGTTTTTGGGAGGTATGACAATGACAGGCGGACCTGGAGATGCAGGATACAAAAAGGCTGAGTGCAGGGTATAATAATAAAGATTTCCTTTTTTTGTCTCTATAGTTATTAAATAAATAACCTAAAAATCTAAGAAACAGTGTCAGTTTGGCAGAGGACACAAAAAATTAATAAATTACATAAGTACAATTCCTTTGTATCTAGATGAATAAATTCACCTCATACAAATAACAGTTTTAACAGATTTCTCTTTCTCAATACTCATCCTCACAATATGTCCCTTATCTACACTAGGTGTCGTATTCTCCTTTTACTTTAATGACTATTTTGCCAAAAAGAAAACTGAATTGGAAGGACCTCTTAGGAAAGAGCTGCAATATAATCAAATAATGATAAAAGACTCTCAAATAGATTGTTGCATCTATTCTAGTATATTGCATTCTTTTAATTAAATTATACTTACTGTAACCTTCACTATCTTACACCTTTTTTATGATGCAACAAAAGACAGTATATTGCTCAAGTATTAAAAAATACTTAAGCGTGATATAAAAGATGCCTTATATGTTTCAGTACAACATAAATACATCAGTAGCTCAGTATTATCCTTTAACATTACGCTGGACTACAGTATTCCTCTTGTAGAGGAGTATAGTATGTTGTATTCCTTTTGTTTTGGCTGGTCTCAGAGCAAAACCTGTTGTACCCTCCATGAGACATCTACTAATTTCTTACATTCCCTTAAAAATCGTATTATTCATAGGAGAGAAAAAAATGAAATCGTCTGTGATACAAAATATCAATCTAATAAATATCAGAATGAATTATTCATGAAATGCATGGTAGCGAAAGACACAACCACAGATAAAGTGGGAAACAACTGGATATTTAATGGTTAAATAGGTTGTAGATTGGTGAAACGTAATAACAACAAAAATAGATGCTAAAACCTAATAAAAGAAACAAAATACAACACAGCAAAAGTTGAATTGTAAGAAGTAGATGTTTACTGAGAAATGAAAATAAAATCCAACTTAATACCCCATTGGCTTTTCAAACATTTCTTTTAACCGTAACACTAAAATATACAAAACATTCTGCGATGTTGCAGCGGTCCCCATCATGTCTTTGCTTGACCAGACATGTCACATACACTGTATTTTTACATCTTTTACATTCTTTATGAGCAGCCCTTTGTCTCTCTCCAAGGTCTGCTGGGTCCTTGTTCAGAAACCAAAGTACGTACTTACTTAAAAATTAATATTCTCAATATTTACTATATTATATATATTACTATAATAACCTGTTATTAGTAACTAATTTGTCAAGACACTATTTTGTAGAAATAGCAAACACAGCTCAGATTGTGCATATGTGAGGCCAGTGCTTAAACATTTTTAGTGAAGTAAAAAATTATGACATCAATATATCTGACAAAAATCCATACATGCAGAGTATATACAGTATATAGAGTACAAGGGTGCTCTATAGATGCACAGATGCCCTAAACTAAGAGTATAGGCAATTACTAGAATATTTTCTGTGATGGTTAATAAAGTGCATAAGCACTTCATATTTTAGCATTAAAAATATAATTTTAATTAATTACTGTTGTTATCTCTTAATTTTCAAATTTACTGTTTTACAAAAGAAGCAGAAAAAAATTGTTAAGGACATTATTATATTTTGATTAAGATGGCAAACTACAGATATTTACTTGCATTCCTGAATAGATAAATTAGTTTTAGTGGTTGAATGATATACTTGTCAGAGAAGACCAGTGTGCTGGCTCAAATGTGGGTTTAAGAACATGATTTAATTGGTTTGTTATTTGTATAGTAAATAAATAAATAAATAAATATATAAAAACACCCAGCACGCCCCTGCGGGCGGTTTATCCTTCAAGCTCGGGTCCTCTACCAGAGGCCTGGGAGCTTGAGGGT